GCCTCCCTCCAGCACTTGCGGAGGGAGGGGGAATGATGAGCCCGGGGAAGAGGCGGGGATTCGGGGAGGGAGCCAATCGGGGGAGGAGGGGGTGGAGTCGGGGCAGGGGGGGGGGCGCGAGCACTTCCGGGCTCGAGGCTCGGGGCATTTCCTTGTTTGTCCGGTTGTCCCGACCGCACGTCGGTCGGGACGCGGGACAAACAAGGAAATATCGGGACGGTCCCGATAAAATCGGGACGTCTGGTCACCCTAGTCCTTAGGCACGACCATGATAAACATGATGAATAACGTGGAGTGTGAGCATTCCCAGGTGCATGGCACAGTCTGCTTGGGGGCAGAGTGACTGTCAGAATTTACTGAAGATGGGTGGGGGAGCAGGGAGATGGCTTTGGAGAACTTCAGACAGGAGCCTTTTTTGTAGATGGGAATATTGGAGGTAGAATCCAGGCTAGATGGCATGGGTCTGAGGACCTATCTGCTGCATACTTGTAAAGACAATGTGTTCAGCTAGAGAAAGCTGATTTCAAGGTGGTGCTGTGAAATATCAATTATTAGTATAGCTTGTCAATACTAGGGTCTCTTTAGATCTTGGACCCCTTTCAATCACACCTCTAAGCTACAGAGCCATGATGTTCCTAGGTATAGACAATGGTAAAAGTCCAGAGGTCTGCCTCCCCGACCCCAAATGCTTGGTTTTGAGTAAAGTCTAACAACCAGCATTTGAAATCACTTCTGCTCTACAAAGGTGAAGGGACTCAATCAAGTAATGCTATGCGCTGGTGCTGTTTCTTTGGGAGATGTAGTTCTTCATGGCTGCCAGCCTCTCTTTAATGGCTTCAGTCTAGGACAGTAGTATTATGATAAATAGTACTTTTCTGATAAATTAATGTGCAGTTCTCTGGCAAATTTCCCAGTTCCTTGCCTGTCCCATCCATTAGACAGAGGCTAGGCTGTCGTACCCAGGCTGATAGCGAAGCCCTGTCCGTAACGACATATCTGATATGAAGGCAAACAGAGCTCTTCGTTCTAGGTTTGTGCACTGGGTCACTGATGTTTTATATTTACCAAAGGGAAAAGTTGCACGTGCTTCGTTGATGAAACACTTGGTAAATGTGCTTTTGGGCAAGCAGCCCCTCGGCCAGGATTGTAGCAGTGGCTGGAATTTCTGTTTGCTAGTCCAGATAAATTTTGGATTTATGTAGCTATCTTCAAGGGTTGAGTGTCCTCAACAGAGGGTTATGATTCGTCTGACTTCTGGCTCTTTCACACAAGCTTGAGTCCAAAGACGCGTCTTAACAGCAGACACTTAAATCTAGGGATTCCATACGCTGAGTGTGAAGCTAATCAAGATATGTAGTGAACTCCTATCCAAAATGACTCCAAAGCACTTTGCAAACTGTCTTGACGTTTACCTACCTGTATATCACTGAAATGCAGCCACTTCTGGATCGAACAGGCAGTTGGTTAACAGTGCACAGCTACTCCACGAGTTCAGACACACAGTGAAGACATGTATCAGAGGGGTAGCCGTGTTAGTCTGAATCTGTAAAAAGCAACAGAGGGTCCTGTGGCACCTTTAAGACTAACAGAAGTATTGGGAGCATAAGCTTTCGTGGGTAAGAACCTCACTTC